TTCTGCCTCTTCTCTCATGACACAGTCAGTATGCTGTGAGGAAACCCAGGCCACATGGAGAGACCACATGCAGATGTTTTGATTGACAGCCCAGCTTAGGTCCCAGCTAACAGCCAGTATCTCCATTCAGACGTGTGTGAGGAAGCTTTTGAGACTCCACCAGCTCTACCCACTGTCCAACTGCAACCAAATGAGAACCTGTGAGCAAGAACCACACAGCTGAGCCCAGTTTTCTTAGTTATCTAATGCTACTGTAACAGAAATACCACAATTGGGTGGCTTTAACAAACAGAAATTTATTTTCTAACAGTTTAGGAGGCTAGAAGTTCGAATTCTGGGTGCCAGTTCTAGTGGAAAGCTTTCTGTCTGTGTTGGCTCTGGAGGAAGGTCCTTGTCTCTTTTGAGCTTCTGCTCCTGGGCAATCTTCACGTGGCTTGGCATCTCCCCCCATCTCTGCTTCTCATTTGCTTGTTTAATCTCTTTTATATCTCAAAAGAAATTGACTCAAGATACAGCCTGCAGTAATCCTTTCTCATTAACATAACAAAGACAACCCATTCCCAAATGGGATTATAACCACAGGTGATAACCAAACCAAACCTGTTGCTGTCGAGTTGATTCCAACTCATAGTGACCCTACAGGACAGAATAGAACTGCCCTATAGGGTTTCCAAGGAGCGGCTGGTGGATTTGAACTGCTGACTTTTTGGTTAGCAGACAAGCTCTTAACCACTGCACCACCAGTCCTCCACAGGTAATAGGGATTAGAATTTATAACACAATTCAATCCACAACACCAATCAATCCCCAGAATGTGAGAGAGAATAATTAAATGACTGTCATTGTTTCAAGCCACTACGTGTTTGTTAAACAGAAACTAAAACACCATTCTCCCATGACTGTGGCTGGACTGGACTGTCTCTGCCCAGTATGTGAGCTCTTTGAGAACAGAGACTGGGTTTGGTTCTGCCTCAGAGGCCACAGTCCCTGGCCTCTGTGAGCAACTCTAAAGCTTTGTTAGTGAGGTTGAATGATCCCCATCTACATGCAGCACTGGCCTCACCCTTGCCCCAACCTATCCCCCAGCATCCTGTCTCAGGACTGGGACCTCATGTGCACATCTGCCCTCATCAGTCTTCCCTTTTAAAATGAAGACCACCCCTCCCATTCCCGCATCCCCCGATCACACTGAAGGAGGACCACAGGACACAACACATTTCTCAGGATAAAAGAGTTCGCCAGCTGCTTTCCTTGCTGCCAAGAGTCTAAGACCTCTAGAAACACTAGGGGTCTAAGTAGCAGGAGAGGAGGTACCATTGACTTTCGGCACTCACACTTTGCATACTCAATGACTTTGATAATTTGGGCAAACCCGAAGGTTGCCATGATGAGTCACTCTGCTGAGGCTGGCAGCTGAGTCACATGGGAGGCCAGTGTGAAGTGTGAGTCACTTAGCTAGTGACAAAGCCTAGTGCCGCCCAGACCTGCATCTCAACAGGAGTCTCTCCTTCCCTACTGAACTAACAGTTGGGTCCATAGAGAAAGCCAGCTCCCCAGTGCTGGTGATTAAAGTGAAAAGGTCTAAGAAACTGATGGTTCTTAGGCAGGGAATGGAGTTATACTTAGTGGTATTTACATATCTAGGAATTTGCAGAGGTCTCCTCACATGTTCTTCCTGAATGCCAAGGGTCTCAGTACTCAAAAGGGCAAGGAAGGCAAGCTTCATTGACCTATCAACTTTGGGAAAACATACCCTGCCTGGTGGCCTGAGTGTGGGGAAAATCCATAGATCTGCTGGGTTGCTGTTAGCAAGTTACATTGAGGAGGCAACCCCACCTCAGCTGCTTCTGGCTGAGCCCCTGGAGACTTGTCTTCAATCACTACCTGTCCCTGCCCCACCCATGTTCCCACGGGCAGGTGAGAGGGATCAAGTGCCCTATCTCAATGACAGGAAAACTACTCTGGCTGAGGCATGTCTGCACAGTCTGGCCTGGAGCTGGGGCAAGTTCCTGGGGCCCTGAGATGCTGTGGATTGTTATCAGTTGGGTAAACTGAGGCACTTAAGCATATCCACATTCTAGATTAAGCTAGAAATACCATCTATAATATTAATCTTAGTCAGGGAAATGTCAGCCCATCCCCCCCCGCCCCACATTGCAGACACCCCGGTACAAAGAGGTCAGTTTGCTCATTAAAGGGAAATCAATGTGTAATATGATGTTTTGACTGAAGCTTTAAGAAACAACAGGTATCCGATACCCAAGAGCACTGGAAAGATCACTCCAAAATCTCAAAAAGGAGATACCAAACATTGCATTTACAACTCGTGAGCCCCCCACAGACGTGGGGAGTGCACATAGATGTGAAAGAGTCTAATGGAAGGCTGTTTTTGGAGAGAGGATTTCTTAGAGCTGAAGGTGTGCCCTGCATCCCACCATCTCCCCAAAGAAGGAAGGTGGTCATGGGGGTGCTTGCAGAGTTGAAAACCAAACTGAGACTGGATTTTACACCTCAAAGTCACTATTCCAGTTACCTTTGAGTCGATTCTGACTCATGGCGGCACCACGTGTGCAGAGTAGGACTGTGCTCCATAGGGTTTTCATGGCTGTGACCTTTCGGAGGCAGATCACCAGGCCTGTCTTCTAAGGCACCTCTGGGTAGGTTCAAACCATTGACCCAACCTTTCAGCTATGGTCAGTAGCTGTGTGCTTAAGCATTTGCACCACCCAGAGATACCTACAGTCACCAAACCCATTGCCGTCGAGTCCATTCTGACTCAGCGACCCTATAGGACAGAACAGAACTGCCTCATAGGGTTTCAAAGGTGCGGCTGGTGAATTCAAACTGCCGATCTTTGGTTAGCAGCTGTACCTCTTAACCGCTGCAGCACCAGGGCTCCTAAGCATTCTTGGGAGTCATAAAATTTTCAAGAAGCAGCAAAAGATGCAATTGCTTTCTGGTTATATTCCATCAGTCAGGCATATTCAGCATACAGTTGACTCTTCGACACCCCCAAATGACCCTTGTTAAGGTGCTTTCAGTTGTTCAAAATGACAACTACATCTAACATCATCCAGACAAACACGTGAGCCTCGTGCTATTAACCTTATTTGGCTGATGAGGAAACTGAGGGTCAACAAGGTAAAAAAACAAAAAACAAAACAGTCAGTCCTGGGCTCTGGTTCCGGCTCTGTTGGCCCCTCTGGTTTTGTTTCCTCATCTGTATAATCTTGTTCAGAATTACAGTTCTGAGCTATGCTCCAAACCATTTGTCCATGTATAGAACCAGAACCTCAGTTCTACTGACCACTGTCTTAATCATCTGGTGCTGCTGTAATAGAAATACCACAAGTGGATGGCCTTAACAAAGAGAAATTTATTCTCTCACAGTCCAGTAGGCTACAAGTCCTATTTCCAGGCATCAGCTGCAGGAGAAGACTTTCTCTCTCTGTTGGCTCTGGAGGAAGGTCCTTGTGATGCATCAGTCTTGCCTTGTTCTGGGAGCATCTCAGCACAGGAACCTCAGGTCCAAGGAAGCGCTCTGCTCCTGGCACTGCTTTCTTGATGGTATGAGGTTCCCATGTGTCTTTGCTCGCTTCTCTCGTTTATGTCTCGAAAGAGGTTGGCTTAAGACACCATCCAATCTTGTATGCCTCATCAGTATAACTGCCGCTAATCCATGTTATTAGATCATCGTGACTGAATTTACAACACATAAGGAATCACATCAGATTACAAAATGGTACACAATTATACAATACTGGGAATCGTGACCCAGCCAAATTGACAGATATTTTTTGGGGACACAATTCAAACCACGACAACCACCATGCTATTGAAAAACTTAGGGACAATATGGTTGGGGGGTGGGGTCTGCTTCCTCCCCTTCCCCTCAAGTATATTGACGTAACATTCTGAAAGCCGGGAGGAAAAAGAAAGCTATTCAGTTTTGGAAACATGTCTAAGGCACATGAAGAAATCTCGAAATTCCGTAAATTGGGAAACGTGTCACAGCTCTCTTTGTTCATTGACATGGTAGAAATAGTCTAGAAATTAATTACACAGAAACATCTGTGATTCCCATTCTCTAAAATGGGAATAGTTATGAGGCTTTTGCAGGGATGAAACAAGTACAGATGCCAAAGCTCCTTGCTCAGCGTCTGGCACACGGTAGCTGCTCAACAATTGGGAACCTTCCTCTATGGACTCCCTTCCTCTGGTTTTATGTAAAGCCTGAAGGCTGGAGGGCAGGGATCTGTGTTTTCTGTCAGCCCCATAAGAGACACACCCAGCAGTCAACTCAGGATGCGTGCTGTTCAGTAACCGTTGACCTGGAGCCCAGTTCAGAAGTCAGTGGGTTGTCTGATCTAGATGACAAAAGCCTCTCCTAGCCTTCTGTGGGCCTTATTTTTTCTAGGCTGAGATTCTTTAGCCACTCCTTTTCTGCTTCCCCACTACAAGACTGACCAAAGGGCAATGCAGGCGTCACTCGTGGATAATATCAGGTTCGGCTGGTTGCCAAAGAGATAGCGATCACAAGGCACTGACAGTGGTTGCAATATTTTCTCAAGTTTGGTTTTACTCTGTATGCGTGTATGCATGTTTTCTAGGCACTGTGCTAAGGACATTCTAGACATAAAAAACCCAAACCCATCTGACTCATCACGACCTTATAGGACAGAGTAGAACTACCCCATGGGGTTTTCCAGGAGCGGCTGGTGGATTCGAACTGCCAACATTTTGGTTAGCAGCCATAACTCTTAACCACTGCACTGCTGGGCTCCAGATTCTAGACATAGTCTCATTTATTATTTTTTCCAATTTACAGATGAGAAACTTGAATCTCAGAGAATTTTTTGACCTGCCTAATATTTCACAGCTAGTAAGTGAGAGCGAGGATTTGAACACGGGTCTGATGAACTCCAAGTAGTCCTGCTGGAGGACCAGATCGCGGTCCTTCCAATACTACCCTCCGCCCCGCACTTCGACCTCCCCCTTACCCAGGGCCTTCATGTAGCCTTCAAAATTGTGATTACTTTCCATCTCCCAGGTTCCACTCTGGTCCCTTGTCATGGTGGCGGCTTCTGGTTCAGCCTGGCTATGTGGAGGATGGCAAGTGGCAGGCTGCATAAAGAATGTGTAGGAATGAGCTGCTTTTATAGCCTGTTGGACTAGGTTTATGATTCTGAAGATAACAGCTTCAAAGGTCATAAGCACAACTCAAAGGCTTTTTGCTTTCCTTTGCAAAGTTCAGCAGGACAACTGGAAACCTGGGCACAAAGTCCTGAAGTGGCTGGCTGAGGTGTTCCACTGACCTCTACAATGCACAGGGCCATGGCATGGCTCACTTTTGCCTGGCTGGGCTACCATAGAGCCTCTGGCCCCGCACAAAACACTCCATCCAGCACTTGGGGAAAACAAATGCCCAGTGTCCACTCTATATGGACTAAGGCAAGCAGCACTGGAGTGTGCCAGTCACATAGCCAGCACTTCCGGCCAGGCTGGCAAACTGAGGAGAGGGGAACTCACCCCTGTGGGTGGCTGTACACTGCTCTTTGCTGGGCAGTGTGCATACTTCATCTTACTTAAGCTCACAAGAGCTCTGGGAGCTATGTTTTCTCCTGCCGATTTTACAGATGCGAAAGACTCAAGGAGGCTAAAAAGCATGCTTAATAACAACTGTGGCAGAGCCAGGATTTTAACTTGGGTCTGCTGACTCCAAAACCCTTTTCTCAAAAGCTTGGAGAGCCCCGTTGGAGCCCTGACTCTCCCTTGCTCCCAGGAAGGTGCCCTGAGGGATTCTAAGCAGCAGATTTATAAGAGAAAGGCATGTTCTAGAAACATGGATCTGCTGAAAGAAGCTGGGCCTGGAGGGAGACAGAGGGGAGGCAAAAGGGAATGGGGATCTGCTTCAAGGCCCCAGGGGCAAGCTGAGGATCACCAGGATGAAGGTGCAGGGGCATAGCTGGGCACCTGGGCAAGGACCCTTGGTTCATGTCTCTTCTCCAAACGAGTTGACCTGATGACTCAGGAAATAGCTTGGTTTACTGCTCGGAAACCCCATTCAGAGAGATGGGGCCTGGGAAGGGGCCGCTACACTCTGAACAATGTAAGTGTGGGCTGAGATGGAGAAAGAATGAATCCTCAAAAGCAAGGCCAATTTTGATTATGACACTTTGGGGCTCTAATATATGTCTTCCAGCACTGTGAAATCGAAGTAAATGGCTCTGTCTATGTGTGGTTTGGGAGATGTAAAACAGCACATTTATTTTTCAGTAAATATACTGGAGTCAGGAGTGAAAAATGGCCCAGCTGTTGTTACAAGGCCAATGTGGGACAAAGGGAAGGGGAGAGTAACAGATAACTTGACCACAAATGGAAAAGGAGCTGAAAACAGCAGAAAGGGACGATTGGGAGCCTGAGGGCTGCGTCCTCTGAGGTCCAGGCAGAAGCTGGGCTGGAGAGGTCGACATTCCCCTTCAGGCACAAATTCCAGGCCTCTAGACACCCCCTCCTGCCACAAACAGTCCCCCATAGACCTTCTTGTGTGCTTCAGAATTCGCTGCTAGACATTCATTCTTCTGGGTTAAAATTTAAAAGCTCCAACTAGAAGTGCTATATTTGGGTAGTGATGGGCATATCTGACTCTGCACTTGCTGACTGTGTGACTCTGGGTGAACTAGTGATTCTCTGGGCAATGAGAGAGAGAGAAAGAGCTGGGGACCAGAGAGGAAAAAATGAGAAGGGGCTGAAGGAGGGGGTAGGGCACTGATAGCCAAGGAGGGCACAGATCATGATTTCTAATGCCTGCTGGAGACCAGCCCTTTCATGGTGGGCTGTGCAGGGCTCTTCCCTGAAGGAAGAACTCCTCAGCACCTCTACCCACACATGGCTGTGAGGTGAGCATCCCATCACCACTGGGAGTCCCTGCTTTTAGACTGGTCCAAATCCGTATCTCCTGTGGTAGCCAGGCATGCCTGACGGATGTAGGGGAAGGTAAGAAGCAGGAGCAAAAAATGGAAGATGATGGCACAGGTTGTCCTTGGTGGTTTACATATTCATTTGTTGATCATCTACTAGGTACTATTCTAGATACTGGGAAAACACATGAACCAAATGGGCACCTCATTATGTTTTCATGTAGAGTTATTTTTATCTTTGAGAGTCAAGGAATAACATTTCAGTTGTGTCAGGCCCCGGAAATGTGTAGCCATTTATAGATTTCCACGCACTAAAACAGGGTCCAGCAAACATTTCCTATAAAGGGCCATTTTAGTGAACATTTTAGGCTTGTGGGCCATATGGTCTCTGTCACAATCACTCGACTCTGCCTTTATAATATGAAAGCAGCCATAGACAATGCATAAATGAATGGCTGTGTTTTGATAAAACTTTATTTGTAAAAACAGATGGTGGTACTATACTAAAATAAAATGTCCTGGACAAATGGGTCCACCCCCAAAGTTAAATAGCCCAGGAGAGCAGCTGCAGAGGGGACCAGGGATTTCTTTGGGAAAAATAACAAGAAAGCCCTTTTCCTAATCTCTGCACTAATAAATCCCATCCATCCTTCTAGGTCTTACTCTGATACCTTTGGCTCTAAAAAACCACTGACTGCTCCAGCCTCAGTTCTCCTGCCTCTCTGAGCTCCTCCCTCTTCTACTGTCTATGCCTCATCACCAAGCCCCTGGGAGAGTCTCCTCTGTCAGGCTGGAACAGAGCTCCCACAGAGCAACATTAAAAATCCTTGTTTCTTTGCTTGGCTTCCTCCCCCCCAGCTTTGCATATGAATCCTGCTTTTGCTTGAAGGTTATATGTAAACCCCGTTGCGCCTTCGTAGTATGATTAAGAACGTTGCTGATGTAACTTGTATGAGCTCCCTACTTGTAAACCCCTTAAAAGTAACTTGCCTGCTCGCCCTTGGGGAGCAGTCTTGACAGCAGAAGCTCTGACTGACTCCTTTTCTTTGTACAATGAAACAAAGGTGACTTTCCTGTTCTCCCACCTCAGTCTCTCATTTATTGGCTAATACGAGGCATGCCGAGCGAGAACTTGGGGTTTCCACTTGGTAACATTTCTGGTGAGCCAGTCAGGAGCCATCTGCTCGGTTCCTGAGGTGGATCAGACAACAAGACTGGCCTTGATGTCTGGTGTTACCAGGAGATTTCTCCTGGAGACCTTGGAGCAGCTCTGAAAGCCGATCCACCTGGGACCCAAAAGATGGCTCTGTGGGTGACATAAAATGCACCTGGGTTGTTTGGTAAGTCCCTAGGTAAGGCCTTAGAAGAGTCCCAAGAAGCAGGAGGAATTGACTGCTGAGGGCATAAAAGGCTCACGTACCTGTTAAGTTGGTGCACCGCATTAGGTTGTGTGAGTGTGTATATCCAGAGAATGGGGAATGTTCAAGGGATCCCAGAATGCAGCCCGCTAAGATGCATCCTTAAGAACTGGGAACAGAGACCTGGACAGACATGGCTCTGGCAGCATACTTGTTCCTTTACTACTTTTGCCTCTTAAAATATATGCTGAATAAAATCTTTCTTTTTGCTTTACTAAATGTTATAGTGTTTTTACTCTACAAGAGTTAACGGTGTAGTTGTTGCAGGGATTCTAAAACCACGAATTCAGTCGACCCTGAGGAGACCTGGACTGTGGAGCAGAAGCTGACAAAAAAAGAGGTCCTATCTCCTGGACCCACTCATTCGCACTTCATGTCCCTTCAACACCAACGGGGTGAGTGCCCTTGGAAAACGAGCCTTCGCTTATTCTTTTTATTCTCTTTCTCATGTTTTCTTAAATTTTGCTTGGCATATTTGTTCTGAAAACCAACTGTTTGATTAAGGAGAATCTTTCTTAGATTTTTTGCTTGATCGTTTGGTTAAGAGTGACGTTTACTAACTCTTTTTGGTGAACTGCGGTTTAGTGTCTGGATTCAGGCCTTTGAAAACATTAAAGAGACAATTCTATTTCCAAAGAGCCCTAGGTCACTATAAGCTGCAAAATTTGGGCATAGATTGACCAGTAAAAGCCATTAGGGTGGTTGCTGGTGCTCATCACAAGCATTAAAGACTCCCATGACAAGATAAAGTGATTGCAAGACAGATTAGAGCACTAGAGAAAACCTGGGAAACAGTGCTCTGTTATGCCAAATCCGCAGGGAGAAGTACTAGCTCGGTACCTGTTCTATGACATAGTTTCTCAATAAAAAATCATCAGAAGCTGCTTTAAAATATTTTCCAATTAAATAAATGAGCATATTTAAGGACTAAAATAAGAGACTATGTCTCTAGCCAACAAAGTGAACGAAGTTCAAAAAGAAAAAAGAAAACCAAAAGTTTGAACCTTAGAGCTTAACATTTTTGATAAATGAGCCCGGATTTCCTCCAACTACTGAGACACTGGTTTAGAGTTCATATTTAAAAACACTATAAACTAAATATACTAAAAACAATTTAGAATTTCAGTGGCCACTTTGGGAGAATGAGCTTTCCATTTGTGTTGCCTATCTTTTCCTTTTTGGGAACTTTTGCTTGATGCTCAGTTTTTGTCAAATGTTTTAATATTCCTCCATCTGAGGCTCTGGCAAGTTAATAAGTTTTATCTAAAACCTGTTTTTTGTTTTTTTCTGTGAACTGAGTCAAGAGAGTGAGGGCGTGGCAAGATCAGACCTCTCCAGCCCCCAGTCTCGCTAGCCAAGAATTGATGGATTCATTTACAAAGTTGCTGAAGAGCTTTGGTATTTACTGGGTAGACAGCCCTTCAAAATGCCTAGACCAACTTAAACATATGTAAATGAATTAGGATGACCCAATCTTGTCTTCCCAGAGTCAAGAGAGTAAGGGATCAGGCCTCCCCAGCCCCCAGTCTCTGAAGTCAGATAGCTCCAGGGAAGTTTTAGAAAGACACCTTCCAAACTGAGTGGAGACTTTCTTAAGACAAAAGAAAATAAGAAAAAAGTGCTGCTTTACTATACTTACCAAAAGTTAGAGAGATCTCAATCACAAAAGAACTGTAAACAAGTTATATCGTAAGAGAACTCTAAAAAGCAAAAAATAAAAATCACAACAAGACACACCTAAAATGGCCTAGAAAAATGTTCCTACCCCTAGCTAGAACTTAAGGT